ATTCGAGAAATCCAAGTTCGAATCCCGGCGAGAGCATTGCACATTTTTTACGTCTCCAGCATCAAAAAATACTAATAACTCTACAATATGAATAAAAATTGGAATTCCAGTCCATATGAAGACATATATGCAAGCTCGTGTGCTATGAAATATAAAGAGTTCGTGCTTTTTAAAAATATATTTTCTTAACCAACGTTTAAAAAGTGCCAGCCCAGTCACAGATGGTATTAACAGAAATTTAATATGACTCATCTGTAATGCAGACGTTTAGTGAAGTGGATATCTCCGAATTTTACAGATATCTGCCTGTGTGGTTTCCACACAGCCGTAAGTTTTGTACATGATTTCCATGTTCATTAAGACCAATCAATATGAACAACTTTTCTCACTTATAAAATAAAACAATTTCCCAACGAGATCCAAGTTAAAAAGCATTTATTTGACTTCTTAAAATCAGTAGAGTAAGCTATATGACTTCAGACATTTGAAAGCTAGTTGCAGAAAATTTAGGTTCAGAAAAAGAACAACTGATATCCATCTACTACCAAGTTTTCTTTATATTCGTTCCATTTTTAAAGACCTACAGTATTTAGCGCAATTTTATGTATTCACTCTTTTTAAAAACATCATTAAGTATGAAAAGGGTCTTCCCCCTCCCCGTCTTGCAACCCATGCTTAATGTAAAATGATAATTATTTGACTCACTTCAGGTAATGAGTTTCACATGCCTACTCTAGAGCAATATCCTGAAATATATACTTCTACCATGATGTCGACAATTATTTTGAAACAATTTTGGACATATGCCGTAAGATTGTATAGAAGTTTATATACCATCTCCTACTTCACTATTTCACCACTTACTTTGGAAAAATATTTGTGTACGAAAGATGAAATACACTAAATCTTGCTTTCTTACAAAATTTTTAAAAATATCGGAGGATAGTAGCGGATTAAATTATTTTTGAAGCCTTTCTTAGCGGGTAGAAATTCTAGAAATTGCTGTATTTCAGTCAAATTGTGGAGACTCAAATTATTTTTCCAGGAACAACTGGAAGTTGCCTGTAAGAAAGCTTTTTAGCTAACTACTTCTTTATGCAGGAAAGATAGTTTTACAGAAAAATTTCATCAAAGAGGCTCGTATTTGAGGGATAAAATCCTGCTCCTCCATACTTAGCCTCACCGTTACGAATGTACATATAAACAACGTAAGTGAATATCAGTACTTAGCTAACTATTGGTAATGAATTGATAACTAATGTAACTATTGGTAACAATTGGTAATGAGTCTTCTATAATAAATTAAGGATTTAAAGTCTTGAATTATTCTTTCTTAGTTCTTATGACACTGTAACAATGTAAAATGATTAAAAATTTTAAATTTTGACTCTCATTAACAGAATTATCAAAAAAAAATTACAGCGATAATATGCTGAAATAGAAACCATAGCTTTTAATTTTTATTGATGATAACAAGGGTTTTAGAATCAAAATAAAAAATACTTTGGAGAAAAGGAAATATAATGGTGGACCTGCCAGTAGGAAATTTTTAAATGATTCCTAAGAAGCTTGTAAGGAACTTTATTTTGCTAAATTATTATCTTTCTGTTTTCGTGCACTATTAAATTATCTTTCAGATTGGTTTTATCTTACAAGCTGCTAAACCGTATATATACGTTCAAAAATATCTGCCGTAATACCTTTAAGTATCCACACAGGTATCTTGAAATGTATCCTCACAAATAAGGCAATACATATAATGAAAGAAAAGAAATCAAGGTACAAAACGAGAAGATCACTTTGGAATTATTATCAGAAACATGCCACTTACCCGTGGCTTTTTTGGGGGGAGGGGGGACTTTAAGATTTCAGGTCCAAACTCTTTTCCTCTTAGAGGGTTTACCAGAAGTAGGTAAATTAAGTATTAAATAAAAGCAGTTAACAAAAAATCGCGAACATTAATTAAAGAGATCAGACTAACTATGACCTTAATATTTAAGTTATTTCTTTTTGTTGACAGCCTCACACATAATAAGTTGAGAGAAATTGATTGCAGCTGTTTTGAAGAATTAACTATCCTGGAAGATCGTGATATTTGTCATGCAGTTAAAGTTAAAAATTACTATAGTTAGATATTTAAATAGTATAAAAGTGAAATCAAGCTTGTTTTTCAAGATGTTAAGATATATTACCGGTTTATTACGCAAAGACTTATTTGCATTCGTATGTTTGTTTGTCTCGCTGCAAGCTGCAATTATTCGTTCTCATTTTCAACTTGTAAATCCAGCTACATTTAAGTAAATTAAACCGCTTTGTTCATAAGCTTGTAAGCTCATTTTTTAAATATCTAAATTAATAGCTGCTAAATGGTAAAAGCCAGTATCCAAAAGACAGAACTAAAAGCTAAGTGAAAATAGTAAAACTTTTTAACTTGTACCAGTTAAGATATCTGAAATGAAAAATAAATGCATTTTTGCATTTCTGAAACAAGTTTTCTGAAGAAGAAAAACTTTTATCGTCATATTATTTAATTTTATTAGAAAACTTGTAACATAATATTACCCCATAATTATGAAAATCGATTTTTTTTTGTGTGTGTGTATTTGATATTGACGTAATTATCAAACTAAATCTGTGTAAATTCTTTATATCCCTACTTGTGAATAAGTAATCCTGTATATTATAAGGAGTCTTTATAAAGTATTTTATTTCTACTTGATGGCAAAATAGCCCACAGTGCATCAGATGCTAGTGAATTGTCCTATGAACGTGAAACGGCGAAAGCAGAAAATCTTAGACTTATTGACGATATAAAACGTTACAAAAAAATTTTTCTTGTTTCACTTGCTTAATTTTACAAAACATTTAAACTTACTCTCGTACACCTGCGCACAAAAAATGAACTATATCACCATATCATACATATATACGAGAATGATATTTTTATTTGCTTGAACATAAGACCAGTTTTGTTGCTTATGTTTTTAGCTTAAAAACCTAAGACCTGTTTTGTTACTTATGCTTTCAGCTTAAAACCGAAAAATTTTAATGTACAAGGCATGGGGGCACTCAACATACACGGCTAGCCGAAAATTCTGTCGAGGGTTTGATGGCAGGGAAAGAGGGGTGGAAGACCCTCCGACCGCCCCTTGTGGTGTTCTTCCTCAAAATTGGGACGGAAGCTTAGCAGTTAGCTAGGTTCAGAAGTACCTTACGCTAGCCTAGCTTCTACCTGTACTTGTATAAGAGAAAATGTCAGTTACTTTAGACTAAAGACAAATGAATGATCATGAAATCAGATAAATGAGACGACTCGCTTAAATCGACAGACAAGAAGTTTCTTTTCAGGCATAAACATTTTATTTCAATTATTTTGGCAACCAACCGCTTCATTACAAATCCATTTCCATTTTAAAAATCTTTAAACAACTGTTCTAATCACAGTCTCGCGATAAACTGAGGAGTTGCCACTCTTTCCCAAACAAAGTATTAACAGAGGCAATTTACGTAACATAAGTGGCGCAACAGCAATAGTATTCTAAACAAAAAAGAAAGGAAAAATTTGGGGATTTTAAACTTTTAATGTGCTATTGGATAAAAAGTAACTTGTTTCAAGTTGTATATTAGCGTTTGTAAGCTTCGCTTTAAAATTAAAATATGAGAATAAATCAATATCCGATGTTTAATTTTGTATCACTTCAGTTAATGTCAGTATGTTAATGCCATGAACAAAAATCAAAAATATTTCTTTAACAAGTTCAGAAAACTCTACATGAAAAGTGTTACTTTAATTTAAACGTTTATTAATTAATAAAATACGAGAATGATATATTTTTTAATTTTTTCAATCGCTGAATCAGATTTTTAAAAAGAATTTTCTATTTCTATATTACCTTACGAAATGTAACATGATGTGACATCATACTATTTTGGAGTCAAGTTTTGTAGAAAAATAGTACAAAATTATTTTTGCAACGTTTTTCACGAAATTATTTTTTTTTTTTTTTTTTTCAAGAATGAAAATAAACCTTTTGCTCTCCAATTTCAAATTTGAAGATTTTCTCGTTGCATACATTTCTGTCTTCAAATTACAGTCTCATTCCTACATCCCTGGTTTTTTTATATTCAATACAAAAGTATTTTTCGTTGAAATATACTATTATCTATTCATATTTCCAAACTTTTTCATAAATTCCTTTCCTGTTATTAATAAATTCACAGAAGAAATTAATATTTTCAATCCGGAGTATGTTAATTTTTCAAACCTTTTACGTGATCGTGCAAAAGTAATGGTTGAAATTACGTGAATATATTTCATATTATAATGAACAAGCAGATCTATTGTAATTTTTTAAATACCTGTTTAAACATAGCAGCAAAAGGTTACTTCATCTTCTTCATCAGTAACTGGGAAACTATTTCTAAGATTAGCCAGTTTCGAAATATTACCAATTTTTTAAATAATAAAACATTAAATGTGCTTCAACATGCGTATTTTACAATAGCCACTTTTATAAAAATAAGCCAATGAGAACTCAATTACTTTAGTTATTGAGACTTAAAACTATTGTAATCATAAGAAATTTAGCTCATTAATATTCATCTGCAACGAAAACAAAGTAAAAATTTCCAGTTCTGTAACAGTATTTCAGAACTTAATATTATTTTAGTCTTCGCAATACACATAAAATATTTGTAATTGCATGCCAGGAGGCAAATTGGATTGTGACTTAAACTTCCTCCTTTCTCAAATCGATTCCAATAAAGGAGCGTCAACCAAACTGATCTATACGTATCGATTGCCTCGCCTACCAGCTGCCGAAGCACCGCCTACTTTTCTCCTCTGCTGTACTCTTTCGAGAACCACCCTCTATCGCTTCTATTTCTCCGGCGTCCAATGGGAGCGCTGGCGCACTCCGCTCCGGCGATTGGCCAGCTGATGGTGACACGTCCTCTTTTCAAGTATAAAATGAGAAATGTCCCGCTCCAGGGCCAGCAAGCCATTGCTGTCAACCGCAGCTCCCCCTCTGCCCGAGGCTTCTGTTCCTCGCGAGAGAGAAAGTCAGCTTGCTTTGAAAGGACCCTCAAGGGTCCATTTTCATAATTTCGCGCGCGCGGGCCCTCTTGGTCTTTCTATATAAAAGAAGAGGTTATGACATCGCTGGCCCACCAGTCCTATACCGGCAGCTTCGCGCGTGGGTCGCCCGAGTTCGAAGGGGAGTTGTACGTGCAGCATTACTCAAGGGGCGGCGAGATGCCCCCTAGACCTTGTCGTTATGAAGAGTCGTCGCCGCGCGACAGCCCCGAAGAGAGGCAGACGAGCAGCGGTGAAGAAAGACCGGCTTGCGATTACGCAACTTCTTCTACGACACATGGTATGACAACATCCCTGCACCACCAGTATCCTTCCTGCCTGTCCGGTGAGTTGTGATTCCTCTTCTCCTTCTGTTCCAACAAGTCGTGAAGACGACCCATTCGAATTATCCCTCAAAAGCGCTCAGGTTTTATCCTATCGAAATGCGCCTTTCGAAATAGACAACTACGCCATAAGCATTTCTTTGAAAATAAAGCTCATTTAAAAGTCTTAAGAGAAAAAATACTTGAAAAATTACTTTTCTAAAACTGTTTTAAGATTGCAGTGAAAAACTCACTTTTAGCGAAATGTCGCAGCTATTGTCTTAAATCAAACAAGCAAGAACTCAAGAAAAGCATTTTAGATATCAAACGAGGGCCCAAAGAATATTGTCATTGCTGTCAATTCATTTTTAAATTCAAATTATCTTTAATTACAGATCCTATGCCAAAATTGGGTGCCGAGATATTTGTATGAAATGGAACAAACATCAGAACATCATTAATTATGGCAGATGCTGGATGCTAACAAAAAACGGTTACGATGCATGGTTAGGTTTTTTTTTTTTTTTTTTTTTTTTTTTTTACCCTTCCCGAGGTGTGTTTCTTTGATGGTGTTTGATTTCTTCTAGAAAGTAAATCAAAAAATGATCCAACAGTTAAAATTGTGGGGCACAAAAAATTCTGAGCCAGAAATAGATCCTTGACGAAGACTTTTGGAGACTTTTATATATGTACTGGAAATAAAATCCAGTTTTTTTCAACTGTGCCCTTCGCAAAGACAGCCTTGTAGAGAGTGAGATAACTTCGGTGCGCTTCACTGTAATCAGTTAGCAGTCCTTATGATCATATAATTTTCTCAGCCTTATTATACCTCTGATGACAGTTTAGAAAGATTACTTGAAAAAAAAGAAGTGAAAAAGTAGGCCTTTTTTGTATGAATTATATGTAACCATCTTAGAAGTTTAAAAGTCAGAATAGTAAGATTGTACCCAATTGATCAAAGGAAGATTTTAAGAACCTCTTACCACGCAATCTTTGTTTAACTGAAGTAGCTATACTTAACCTAAGAAGGTTTTCAAAATTTTTTACGGGTTCTAAAAACAGTTTTTAATGTTACATTTACATTTTGATTTCTAAGTGCTAATCTATGTTACATTCCTCTGTAAATTCAACATACTTATTTTAAAGTAATACTTATTTTAAAGTAATATATATGTCACACAGCAAACATTATTTTTTTTTCATTTTGAAATGCTTTATTCTCTCTTAAATAATAAATAATATAAAAATATTTCTAAAAATTGCGGAAGTTTTTGTGTTGACTGGTAACCTTTCCAAAAATATTCTAAGTTTTTAACCCTGCCATCTGCATTATTAATTCCAAAACTATATACTGCTGTGTTTATAAAGTCTATTTTTTGAATTAAAGGAATAATAACGGCTTATGCATATAGACGAGTAGATTTATTTGGGAAAGAAAATTTCATTTATTTTCTCAATCTGGAAACCTTAGATCACACCTCTTTAAAATTTACCATTACAACTGAAATAAAAATAAAAAAATGTAAAAAAAGTTAAATTTCTAAAATCGTGCAAATATTTTTTCCTCTTCATATAGTAAAATCTGTTTCTCCGAATTCATGAAAATAAGTATGTTATTAAAAAAAAACACATCTAAAAATTTTAATTTTTTGAATGTTTTTTTACGTAAAATAACAAAATAATATAAAATACATATCAAAAGCATTTAAAAAAAAGGTAAAAAAGAAACGAAAAGAGTATTGCCACCTGTACAAAATTAAAAACAGAAATTAATATAAAGTCTTCTTATATAAAACTAGAAATTTTTTCATGTCCATTATGTATTACATTGGATGAAGATAACCACTTATTTAACACAGAATTAGAAATTTCGCGGTGGACCAATTATGGAATGTTATATACCTCTTTTATTTGTGATAGTCATGGTCTGTTAGATTTTTCATATAGAACCACGTGATATAAAATACATTGCTACAGAATATTGCTCCGAAAAGTCCAAGTAAAATTATATTTTACATGATTGACTTGCACTGTACTGAGCACTCGATGCCCTTTCATTATAATTTGCGATAAACAAAATGTCTCAATGTACAGTCGATTGGTAACAGTATGTATTTATTACGAACAAGAGAGGTTTTTTTTTTTTTTAAGTGTTCTAACTTTTTTTTTAAACTTTCAACAAACAGAAATTCTCAAAACAGAAATTCAGATGAAAACTCTTTAGCCTTTGCAAATAAAACAGAACAAGATTCCTCTTTGCCATCCAATGCTTAAAATCTTTTTAATTCCATTAATCAAATTTCAAAATTTTTTTAGATAATTTCACTATTCAGTGGTTAAATTCTCGATATGCGCCGCAGCCACTTCTCGTTCTTGTACATCTGGTGGTACGCACTGTTCTTTAATCTTTCATAACACTCCTGCAATGACAATTCATTGACAATGACAATTTGACAATTCACTTCGGGAATATGGTAATGTATCGTAGTTAAACGTAATGGAATTTTTTCAGACTCCACTAAAGACGTTTCTAATGTCATAAAATTAATAAATCTGTAAAAGAAAACTGACTGGTATGCCTTTTTCTTTTTCTGTAAAATATACACGAAAAACTGTCCTCAAAATTTAACGAAACTATTTTCATTACTAAGAATGTCATAATTTAGAATGATAAAATTTAAGAGCATTCATTCTAAATTTACTCCTTATGCGACAAAAGAGTCATTTAAAAAATATTTTGAAAGGGAATTTAGTAAATAAATACTGTTTCCTAACCCTGCTCCACATCAAAAGCAAGGAAGCTTAAGCCTTTAGAATTTGAGTATACTTTTTTTTTTTCCCAACTTTTCTCAAACACAAATCGTACATTTTGCTTCATGATATAATTATAAATTAAAAATTTAAATTATTTTTTCATTCTGTTAATAAATATATTTATGAAACTAGTTAAGCAAGAATCGTTTATACTGAAAAACAATCTATTAAAAGGTGTTATAAAGCACATTATATGAAATGCAAGTAAAATAGTAAAATTGAATTTTTAGAGTATGTATTGCTGAAATAAAGGAAAAACTTTTGATAAATATTAAAAGAGTTATTTCCTTAAACTTTACAATAATTCAATTATTGCACATAACTCAACGTTTTCCAAATTTTCAGCCTTGCGATCCATATAGATATACTAGTTACCGCGCTGAAAAAAGGGAGAAAGAAAATAAAATAATAACAATAGCTAAATATCTAAATTGTTAATAAGTAGTTAATATTATTTATGAACTGATCATCAATCATAAATAAATATCCATAAATACAAATCAAATGAAAATTTCAAAACTTTTCACGATTACGAAATTAGTTTCAAAACCTACTTAAGAATCGCGACTTACATTTTAGGAATCTTTGGCATAGTATATAGCACTATAAAATTCTTTTAACTGCTACGATAATGGCATAAGTTAAAATATACTAATATTTTTCAAATAAGATAGAAACTATATTAGAAGTAATGGTAAATTCATCTTATCATCCTTATATAGTTGCCATCGAAAAGTATCATAATATGTTTATGAAACGAAAACTTTTTATAAGCTTGCTTTTAGTTCACTCAGTTTTATTTAGTTTGGGCTGAATTTTGTTCTCAATTTTTAGCCTACTTCTAGGTAAATTACAGAGTACCAATTTTGTACGCCTTCCTCCTCCTGTTTCTCAATGAAAATGCAAGGTGTTAAAACGATTTATTTCAAAATTCGATGTAGCGTTTTTTTTATTTAATGTTTAAATACGTACATATCTTCGTTTTACGAATAAACTAAGCATATCAAAATTTTATTGTTTGCACCATCAAATACAGTGGAATAAAATCTTTTCAATGAAAATTGTAGGAAAATGTAACTTAATTTCTGGATTTCTGGCGAACTTTTGAATATTTGTAGATGAATAATGTTTGATTTTTAAAACTTCAACATTTAAAAATGTATGGGATACAAAATTTTGAAATTTCACGAATTATAAAACAAACATTTCTTCCTTTTCTTTATATTTGTTAGAAAATATTGGTAAAATTTTCAAGATAATTGGAAGAATGATAGGTTGCGCAGACTGGTAATATCATCCACTTTTGCTTGAGCAACACTGTCTTCGCAAATTGCAAGCAGTAGCCCTTTTAAAAAATAATTAGCTATATATTATATGTGTATGTAACGAAGAAATATGAATGTAAAACATTTAGATGCATTTCCTTTCGCAGTGCCGAGACCTAATACGGGAAAAGTTCGCCCTCGGAATTAATTTAATGCAATTTAATAGCATGGCTCACTTAATATTTTCCCCTTGATGCTCTGTAAGTATAAATCCTGACTTAGAAGTGATGTATAAAAGTGCATTTGACATATGTTACTTTTAAGTATTGATATTATAATTAGATAATAATTTCTGGCGCAGCAAATTATTTCCCACTATATTCCATGTTTATTCAAGTCACACAAGACTAAAAGTTCAGTAATAACTCATAAATAAAATATACCTAAAATATTCAGTATTACAACAGAATTCAAAGTTATCAAAAATTATCCAACGCTATAGGGGGAGCAACGCAGGGAAGTAAACTTAAATATTTAAGTGGATTAACTCGGAAAATTAAATATTTTGCAATCAATTACCGGTTAATCGGTCTCTGTCTTGAAAAAATGTAATGTTTTTTATTGTAGAACGATAGAAAAAAGTAATATCACAAACAGGTTAGAACAAATCTTATCTGAAGCACTTTTCAGTATTCTTATTTACAGGCGTTCTTATTTTGAAAATATTTGTATATGCTTTATTAATTTAATTGTTTAGCAACGTGGCTTACACTTTTAATAAAATATTATTTGTGTGAGTGATCGTCACTCATTTACTTATTCTTAGCTGGTGTGGTGGTATAGACATTTCTTTAAATAATACGTAAAACTGTATTGGATAAATTTTACAGCTAACGTTTAGAAATTTTAATCTATGTTTCTGTTGTATAATAATTTTCTAGTTA